TAATAAAAACAGCCATTAATTTCCACTGACTGCTTCAGAGTCTGAGGGAACTTGCGACGAGTGTAAACCACGGATTTGAATGGATCCGAACGCTTCATCGCCGGGTTATTAAACTTCGATCAAATTAGACGAGGGTCGAAGATCGCCGCCGCTTACCGAGCGGCGAATACATACTTGGAACGGTTAACTATCGCGGTCATTTTGATCCCGACACCTCTAATTCGATTAGCTGGAAGCCCGGAGCCAAGCCAGGCAACCCGGTCTTCGACGGGTAGAGCCTGCGAATCGGCCGATACACAAATCTTGCTCGAATCGTCGAATTTTTGGCGCGGCCAACCCGGCAATAATCCCGGGTAAAGCAGCCGGGCTAGGGGCCGCCGGTGGAGAAGCATGGTTATATAATCGACATTCGGTCGGTTTTAAATTTATCACTTTTGGCTTGAACCCGTGGTCGTAAAATACATCTGCCCTTAACGAGATATCGATGAAAGCGATCGCTGGTTTTCGAGAACGCCGGTTCAACGCCGGGGATATAAACCCTACACCGGTTCTCGCCCGTTCCCCCCCCCCCCCGCGCGGCTCCCCATGGAATGCGTTATGAAGTGGATCAATTAAGGCGCGGAACGATGGAAATTTAGCTGTTAATTAACTCACGGCCTGGAATATAGATGATGTTTAAATGCGGCCGCGAATTAATGCGGCGAATCATTGCTTTCCGCTTTGCCGGCGGGAAAGAATCGCGCGCGCGCTCCTTGCCGACGCGATGTCACGCGCGCGCGCGATTCCGCCTGTAATTTATGCGATTATGATTACGTTAATCTCGCGATCAAGCGGCCGTTCTAACGTAAATTGCGTTTTTGTTGAACTTTCTATCGGGAATTCTGTGTTTCTACGGAGAACACCGTTTGTAGTCGTATTCGCGAGAGTTCGTATTGTTTGCACGAATTAATAGCATTTAAACATCGTTTCAGTTAAATTGACGAGAGGATTATTATAACAAGAGGCTGTTCTGGTTCATTTGTTCCGCGGACAATTGTTAAATGTAAGGATTACATTTTCCGTTTTCGTAATTAATCGGAGGAATATTGTTTGCAATTATTAAACTGCGGGCTTCTATGGGAAATAAAAGTTGCCCGCATTAATTGCGAGAAGCTAAGTAATTTTCACGGGTTAAAAATTATACATTGACATTTTCCGATTCTTTCAATCTCTCTGCTGCTTTGAACCGCAGAAGTTCGTCGAATTACATGTCAATTTGGTAAATTACGTGTCAGCTTCGCCGAGATTAACTGCAAATTAAAGGCTTCTTGAAACGCCGCCAGTTCGCGCAAAATATATTTCGTTCAGAATCTACGAAGAAATAATTTGTCATCCGAATCGTTAAAAAGCGATGCTGAAGAATTATATTATCAATTTCGCGAACGTCTCCGCGAGACGTTCTCGACAAGAATAAAGCCTGCGAGATCGTCGGTGATAAATAAACCGCGGATTTTATTGTACACGCCGGGGACACGAAAATATCGGAAGCACGTTGAAGGTAACAATGAGACATTTATTCTGAGTTTTAGCCAGTGTTACCGTAATATTTGCCGCGAGCAACGCGTATCGCATCGAATAAATAGCTCGTGATAAAATAGCTGGTATCCATGGAATCTGAATAATCGTGAACGAAAGAATTAATGACCGGCCATTTTCGCGGGTCGGCCGAGCCTAGCGTTCAAAAATATTGCACGATTGAATTCCCCTAAATAATCCCGTAGAAAATACGTGTAATAATCCGCGATCGGGACGAGTGTACAGAAACAAGAGCCGACTATAATTAATCACATTGACGGTCATTAATAATGCACAAACACTTTCACGGTACGCCGCTCGATGCGTACTGCATAATTATCGACTTGCTCATAAAGTCTCCCCACTATCTCCGGAAATAAATTTCGCCGGTGTAAAATAGAATTCTAAAGGCGACTCCTCCGGGTTTTTGACTTTTTCTTGGTTTTTTCTCTTTTCTTTTTCTTTCTCTTTCCCCTCCCCCCCTTTTTTATCTCGCAGCCCGTCTTCGTTCCGCGACGATTCAAATGGAAAAGTGTATCACTGCCGGAAACGGAATACGAAATGACGAAGTGAAATATAACTCGATTCCCCGGGCGACAAAGAAAACAAAAAAAAAGACTGATGAGCCGCGCGACCCGGCCAAACAAATAAATGTTTTCTGATAAATACGTAATAATAAATAACGCCCGTTCTAAATCAACTTTATCCATTTTTACGTCGCATTTACATCCCGCGAAGACTGTATTTATGTACGGCGCGCGGCGTTTGATCCAGAGAGAGAGAACGAGAGAGAGAGGATGAGAGAGAAAGAGACTGAGAGAGAACGAGAGAGAGAGAGAAAGGGAGAGAAAGAGACTGAGAGAGAACGAGAGAGAGAGAGAGAGAGAGAGAGAGAGGGAGAGAAAGAGAACAAGCGAATACATAAGAGTCGGAAAATTATTAACGCGTCCGTCGCGCAAAAACACAGTTCGTCGATGGAATATTTATACGTGCAGTCGTCCCGAAATAAATTTGCAATCCCGTATCGGCAAATGCTTTATCTTCTTTCTTCGTTCGTGAAGGCAAAAACTATGCTAGCACGCCAGGGAAAGACAGAAACGTATCGCGGCTCTTCTGGAATATGCATGCACCTTTGCGCACGTATGAAAATATGCGCCGTTCTCGGTCAAAAGACGTAAATAATATACCGGCTTCGACGAGGGGGGAGGGGGAAAGAACTTTCGGGGGAAAATCCTTTCAAGAAGGAAGATTAAATGGCGTCGTGCTCGATACTGGCACCGTGCATTGGCAGAGATCGATGAAGTAACACACGAAACATTTTAATCAACGATCACGGGCGATAGCGTTCGAGACTCCGCGCGCTCATTGTCGGATGCACACGGAGCCGGGTAAAGGATTCCTATAAAAAGCAGATATGAGTTTTCCTATCTGGGTCACGGTATCACGCGAATCATTTATATTTAAATGATTGACAGGCCAATTTTTCCTTTAAGTTGTCATCCGTGTTGACGTCAACGTGTTTTAAGCAGAGTCGAAGATGGATGACGGGAAACGCTATTCCGTCCAGCCAGGATTTATGATAGAGTCTTACTGCACGTGCCGTTGCAAGGGGCTGCCCGATTTTTAGATTAAACAGGGCTGTCGTCGGACTACGATTATTTAATTACGATCGTTGACCTGCCGTCCGCCTACGTCATTGTACTTTCTCTGGACTTAACAAGGGAGCTTTCCAGAGCGAATCGTGCTCGTTCGAGAATCTGTGAGACACTTTCGGAGAAGCTGTAATCCTTTTACAGAAATCTCGAAGATCAATTTTTCTCATCTTGTTGGAAATTCGTTGCCCGTAAATTGCCTTTTCTGTTTTTAAATACCGCAGGTATTTCTGGTTTCGAACCTGCGAACAATCAATCTTCTCGCTTTCGCTTAAAGTTAATGGCACTGTAGAAAATGATCGCGGAATAATTTCCACGAATTCGTAAAAAAAATCTTGACATTATAAATGTTCGACAAGGAAAACTTTTGACACGTTCCGCTCGAAACCGGAGTTTTTAGAAACGGCTGACACGGCATCTCAAGTATTAATTGATCAATTTTCGACTTGACATTACTAGAGCATGCTCGGAACATCTCTCGTTACAACGTGAACCGAAACTTTTAAAATATATCGCCTTTTTTTGACAAACATTTCGAGCATGCCAATTGGGAAGAATATTTAAGAGATCTTCCAAATGATGCATTTTGTAAATAATGAAGGTCATAGCCAGATTCATACTGAAGAAGACGATCTCTCATTTCATTCAGTTATGGCAACAGTGAACGCAATTTTTTTAAGTCGCTCTCAACGAAGCAGACTTTGTTACATAACTTACATAACTTTTTTGGTTTCTCCTTTCACCAAAAGCTGAAGCGAAAGGTCTAACATCAAAAAAGAATTTCTAAAAATTGTTTGAGAAATGGCATTCGATTACAACGCTCTCTTAATTATGCAAGAGCAAAATTTATCCGCCAAGAGAAGCTTATAATTTGCAAAATATGCTATTAAAAAGTTTATAACGTAACGTTGGTAGATAATAATTATTTCGTCCGTCTACTATCATTACACCGGACAGCTTGTTAGTTAATTCGACGGGTTCGCAGGTCGAAGGTATAGCTACTAATTAACGTGCACTTTATTAAGCTCTTATTGGACACGCTGTTATCGAAATGATATTGGAAAGTATTCGAACTGCTCTCGGCGCGGAAACTTTTCAACGGAATAATAGGAGACCCTTTGTCTTTCGAGGGAAATCGAGGGAAAGAGTCGTCTGAGGAGACTTCGTGCTTTTATTATCATCGCCGTATTGTGACATCAATATTACTGCCCCGTAAAATGGTTTTCGCTGCTGAAAGAGGCGAGAACATTATTGTCTGGAAATTATTGTAGACGGTGTAATGCAGTTTGAACGCGGACAATATCGTTCTATTGCTTACGCATTCGTCCTTACCCGCGCTGGAATAGTAATTAGAACGCTAACAAAGAAATGCTCGCGCGCGGGGCTCATTTGCAACGATTCTTGCGAACATTTCGCTCTTTTGCGAATATTTTTCCGCGAAAATGTTCGCCGTGACCTACGTTCGACGCGCGATAAAAAGTGTCGAATAAATTTTGCTTCGTATCATTCTGTCATTCGAATTGCATTATCGACGCTTGAGATCGATGTTCGACGTTTAAGAGTTCCGTAAAAAAATTGTTCAGAGACCGCAATAACGTCAACCGCGAGCGAAGTAACGATTCAAATTAATTATATAGATTAACAAGTTCCCTCGAGGTTATTGTTTAAATAAAAATCATCGATCTTCTCTTGTGAATAAAACATCATTCTCCTCCGATGAATAAAACATGAAAATTACAATTCAGGGTCCGACGTTTAAAAAATCAATTTCAAGAAACCGATGCTGAACGGTGCTTTTTTTCCCTCGAACATTATCAACCGGTCGAGAATGATCCAACTCGTTAAACCCATTTTGTCGTTCGTGCACGAAAGGAGATTCACTCGACAAGAGTGATCAGCCACCCGTTAATTCGGCGGAACATCGAGCGGGGCGTATTATCAATCGGTCGGAGCAGTTTCGCCGGCATTAACAGTCGAAGAAGAGAAACAGGAATTTGTTAACAATTTCTGTCGCCCCGGCGAAACTTCGACAATATAATATCCAACCCAATGCACGATGTGGGCTGTACCCGAAACTCATGGTAAGTCCATTGTGTGTGAGATTACCGCGGACCATTAGGAACTGCCGCTAACGCTATAGTTACAGCAGGTGCGTCTTCCGGCGAATATGCTCGAAACTCGTGATAGAACAAACTATTAAACGGATATTCTTACCGAACTCTTCTTCAACGACGTAGGCCACCCTAAACACGCCCTAAGCGCAACTGTAATCCTGACTCTCCCGAAACCATTGCATTCGCGACGAATCCCGCGATTCTACCAGCGCGTTTCATTTTTCATTCCGACACGATTCATTTCTATTATCTATTTATTATAAATGTTCGAAATTTGTACTTCTGAGATTTTGATTCGCGACGATAATTCGTTGATGTTTATAAGGTTATTTCAGACGATATTTAGAAGCTTGCAGGAAATGTTACATGCTTTTCTCGTGTTCACCGAACTGACATGTTTGTCACAGATTTGTTTGCCAATATAGTATGATGATTTGCAACTCAGAGTAAACTAACGAATTGGTCAAACTTTTGCAAATCATTTCCACTTCGTTTTGCCAACAAATTTGTTATAGAGCTACGTCAATAATTTTTATTCAAAACGAACACAGCTTTTCAATGTTTGTCAAACTAACATTTGCAAGTCCAACTTGATGATTAATTAACTTGGATTATTGTTGATCATCTCTTCCGTTGTTAGCTGAAGTACTATTTGCCAATCCAGTCTGGTGATTCGCAACATAGATAAACCTTCAGACTTGGTCAAACCATAGCAAACCATTTCCTCCGAGTATTGTAGACCTATGTTGAGCGCCCAATTTACTCCAGACCTACTTCAGTAACCTTGACTAAAGCTTTGACTGAAGCTCCCTAAAGATAAAAGCTTCCCTGATGTTTGTCAAACCATCATTTGCAATTCCGACCTGACGATTCGCAACACAGCAGAACCCAACTAATTGGTCAAACCCCATCAGGTCATAACTCCCACAGTAATATGGATCACAATTGAACATCTCTTCCGTTGTTAATCAACATAGAGAAACCTCGCGACTTGGTCAAACCTTAGCAAACCATTTCCTCCGAGTACTCTAGACCTCTGCGCCAAACAAATATTTCCTCTCCCAACTGGACGATTCGCAACGCAGCAGAACCCAACAAAATCGTCAAACGCCATCATGTCATCGCTCCAGCAGCAACTTGGATCCCAATTGAACATCTCTTCCGTTCTTAATGAAAGTACAGTTTGCATATCCAGCCTGATGATTTGCAACATAGACAAACCTTCTAACTTGGTCAAACCATAGCAAACCATTTCCCCCGAGTATCGTAGACCTATATACGCCCAATTTGCTCTATACCTCTGTTTGCGCCAAACAAATATTTCCTACTCCAACCGGACGATTCGCAACGCAGCAGTACCCAACTAATTGGTCAAACGCCATCATGTCATCGCTCCAACAGCAACTTGGATCGCAATTGAACATCTTCCCCGACGTTGGTCGAAGTTTGGTTCTGAAATCCGGCCGGCCGAATCGCGTATCACAGCGAAACCTCGCGGCTCGGTGAAGCCCGAACAGGCCATTTACTCAATGAAACACCGAATCCCCGGGGCACCGTCCGTTTTCGCGCTGTTTGCCGTAAACCGCGCCGATCCGCCGGACGATGCGCGAGATCCGCGGGCATTAACCATAGGATAGGATCGCTTGGCGTTCTCCATTAATGGCGATTCATCAGCAACCGTGTTGCATAATACGACAATGGGCTGTAATCATCTTAGTTGCTTCTCTGATTATCCGTATCGGCGTCGTCCACGCCGGCGGCCATTAGCATTTACCTATCGTCGTTGCGTATCAATCCGGCGTGGTGGGAAGCGGCGTCGTTGTTCCGCCCGCGGACCGCTCAACGGCCGCGCTTATTCTTAAGCGGCGAGGGAGCCGGCCGCGCTCTCGTGGGAATCGGATGTGTTTTCAGCCCCGGATATAGACACGCCCGGTACGTATGAATCGGCATTAATTCCGGCCAACGGTTCGCGCTGCCTAAAACCCGGTCGCGCGGCACGGGCCGCGCGTCAAATTGCGGCGAGGCGTGCGGATGCGGCACAAAACGCGCGGCAAACACGGCACGCCAGCCCGCGCGCGGGATATCATGCGGCACGTAGCGTCGCGACGCTCCGCGTAGCCTCGCGACCCTCGCAACCCTCTCCGAGAGTGTTTGCGGGGCTGCTCGCAGTTTCGGCGTTTCGGCGCGCGCCCAACCCGCGCCCTCGGCAGACGGCGGCGAGGAGGAATCAGCGAATCTGGAAAGATTATACGTGCGTGGTATGTCAAGTTCCGTCGCGGCGCGGCGCGGGCCTCGGGGAGACGGCGACGGGAATTTCGGGGTTGAAATTCGGGGGCAGGGACGCGACGGGAGACAAAGAGGGAGTGGAACTGAGTGATGGAGGAAACAAGGTGGAGAGAAATCGAGAGAGAGAGAGAGAGAGGCGCGATGAGAGGCAAAAGGATTCAGTGGGAGAGCAAGGAAACGAGAGGGACGAATAAAGAGAGAAAGTGAGAAAGAGAGAAAGTTCGAGCAAGAGAAAAAAAAGTGGAAGAGAGGCGCGATGAGAGGCAAGATGATTCAAAAGGAGAGCAAGAAAACGAAAGAGACGAATAAAGAGAGAAAGTTTGAGTAAAAGAAAAAATGAGAAAACGGAACACGATAAGAGTTAAGAGGATTCAAAAAGAGAGTAAGAAAACGAAAAAGACGAATAAAGAGAGTAAATGAGGAAGAGAGAAGGTTTGAGTAAGAGAAAAGTGAGAAAGAGAGACACGATGAGAGGCGAGAGGATTTAAAAAGGGAGCAAGAAAACGAGAGAGATGAAAAAAGAGAGTGCGTGAGAAAGAGAGAAAGTTTGAACAAGGGAAAAAGTGAGAGAGACACGATGAGAGGCAAAAGAATTCAAAACGAGAGCGTGGAAACGAGAGAGATGAATAAAGAGAGTGCCTGAGAAACAGAGAAAGTTTGAGCAAGAGAAAAAATGAGAGACACGATGAAAGGTAAAAGAATTCAAAACGAGAGTGAGGAAACGGGAAAGACGAAAAAAGAGAGTGCGTGAGAAAGAGAGAAAGTTTGAGCAAGAGAAAAAATGAGAGACACGATGAAAGGTAAAAGAATTCAAAACGAGAGTGAGGAAACGGGAAAGACGAAAAAAGAGAGTGCGTGAGAAAGAGAGAAAGTTTGAGCAAGAGAAAAAATGAGAGACACGATGAAAGGTAAAAGAATTCAAAACGAGAGCAAAGAAACGAGAGAGATGAAAAAAGGGAGTGCATGAGAAAGAGGAAAAATATGAGTAAGTAAAAAAATGTGAAAGAGAGGCCAAAAGGGGGGCCAAAGCGCTCAAAGGGGGAGTGAAAAAAGGAGAAATGAAAAGAGAGAGTGTATGAGAAATAAAGACAGTTTGAGAAACAGAAAGAAAGAGAGAGATTATAAGAAAAACAGTCTAAAAAATATATGTATGGAAAAAAAGAGACCTAATCAGAGAATTTCAGACAAAGAGAGAAAGAAGAGAGAAGGAGATAGAGGTTCGCACGAGTTTATCCAAGAGTTTTCAGATCTGCAATCGGATCCTCGGCGTCGAAAATGCCGCGCGTTCGCCGCATCCCCGGCCACCAGGCGTGTAATAATATTCGCATAAATAAGGGCCGCGGGTCCCGCGTTCCGGGAGAGCCGACCGGCGAGACAAACGCGCCCGGAAAATGAATAAAGATCACGGGATATTAATTTCGACCTGGTCCCAGGCGAGGGATGCGTTTGCTCTATTTATCGTGCGCCCCTCGCGTTGTCTTCGGCGCTGCGCTATGTCCGCGAGGATGCGAGAGTTACGCAATGCTAGCTAATAGGTGGCTGCGGATCTTTCGTGGGTGTACAACGTTTCGTACGGAAATTGTAGGAAACGTCGAAGATCGAAGTGAATTCATTTCTTTCTTTCATTGAATGAAGCGAAGGCTGCGAAAATGGAGAACAGAGCAGTTGACCTTTGTATCGCGCAGCATTTATATAAATAAATGTATATACAGGGTGGATTCGATATAACGGAGTATAGGAAGTCGAAGATTTTTATCTGTTTATTTTGCACATGGTACTGCAGTTTCTTAAATGATTTGCTACTGTTTAGAAGCGATGATTGGAAACAGCAGAATTTAGCGACGTGAGAATATTTTATTCAGTTATTAAGATTACTGAATGAAAAACTAGATAAATTTTTACCCCATCAGTCTCTTACAATTGATGTAAATCATTTCTATTTTGCTAAGGAAGTGCAACGTAGTTCTGAATGCATAAAAATCCGCAGCGCAGTCGAAGGAACCTAAAATTCAGATAATCAACTTCAGAATTGTAACTTGATATAAATCGCATAAATAATTAATAATCTCCATTCATTTCATTGTCTCTGCAGTTTTCTCTGCACGAATGCGTACAATTAATTAATCCCTTGAACATAAACGTTTCATTTAATATGGATGTTTGTCAAATTGTTATAGGATTCCAGGATACAATATCGCAGGAGAGACAATCCCCATGAAGATGTCATCTCAATATGGCTGCGTCCTGTAATTTAATTCTCTGACTGTTTCCTTCGTCGCCTTCTTATGGTAAGTGCCTCGCCAGCAATTAATTGAGAACGGAAAGTGCTCCAATTCTGGCTATTTTCTTCTTTTGCATGCAGATTTTCGAAGCGTCATATGCAACTTTCCAGCGTGATAAGCATGATAACTTGGACTGCGCGATGACAATTTTAATGAGCTTCAATCTCAATTCCTGGGACGTCGTCGTGCTCAGGCTACTGATCATACTGTTGGTAGCTAAAGTATTATCTTCAATTTTCAACAACAGACGAATCTTTTTCATATTATTGTAACAACAATCACCGTGACATACTGCGATATCTGTATAAAAATCAAATGTGTTTATATACGGGCACACGAAGAGCTCGTAGCGAGATAACGAGAGAGAAATATATATATTGGAATAAATGGAAATTTTAATATTATAGTTCAATATTATGTTACAATCATTTCTTGGTAATATTACGGAAATACTTGTCGCGAAGCTTTTGACCCTGCAATTATTATTTCCACTGTTTCGTTGCGCGAGGCTGGTCTACACCGATTGTCCGAGAACACGTCTCGATGTATGCGAGGCCACCATAGCGAACCAAACACAACTGATGCATTATTCATCCCTTAGCATAGGTAGGATCACTCAGGAAGCCCAATATGTGTGTATGTGTATGTGTGTGTGTGCTTTTTTTAAAGGCACTCAATAATTGTTTGGAAGTACACGGCCGGCGATTTTTCTGGCTGCTTTGTTATTAATTCGGACAAGCTGTTGCAGAAAAAGGAAAAACCCGGCTGTAATAGCTTTTGCAAAAAATTCCACGAAGCCGCGGCGGCCTTTCGCGCTTTCCGCAAACTGATCGGCTTGTGCCGAAACAATTTATCTCCCCTTTCTAAAAAGCTACGTAAATGCCGAAAGAATAAATATCTGCCCCCATCGAGAATAAATTAACTGAATTTTACGATTAACGTCGCGTCGTTTCTAGCTGATTAGTATGCAAAATAAAAATTGTCTGCATTAATTACACGATACAGCAGCTTCGTAGACGTTGATTTCGATCATTTCAATGTGTCGGATATGACGCAATAATATTTAAAAATATTTCTTTATACGTAATAATTAATAGAAGCGAGTTTAAATGATATTAAATGTGAACAGTTTAAATCCATTAAAATCATTTACTTGAAACTGATAATCTTATTCGATCAGCTGTAACAACGCCGTCCACTTCTCGTGCAAAATTAACGTATAATCCTATCGGACCTTTGTAATTCGACAAATTATACACTACGTATATCCATCCCGTTGTAAAGCTTATTTATATTAACGTATTTACATGTCATTCGTGTTAATCCCATAAAACACACGGTGGCTAACAACGCCGCAGTTAACGTGACCGCATTAAAATAAACTATGAATAAATAAATGAACACGTTGCTTATCACTCGTTGATTTTCCGCTGCCGCTGACAATGAACGACCACAATCGACCGCTACCGCTCACAAACATTTCGCTGTAAACAGGGTGTCCCAAAAATATATCTCGCAAACCGGAAATGAGAAGTTCCTGGAATCATTTGAAGTAACTTTTTCCTTGGCGAAAGTGCAACCCGTGGCTTCGTTTACGAATTATTAACGAAAAACACTGACCAATGAGAGGCGAGCTCGCTCAGCCCTTGGCGGCCGAGTCAATGAGCGCGCGAAGCCCAGTTCCGCTCATTGGCTCGGCTGCCATGCGCCAGCATATCTCACCTCTCATTGGTCACTCTTTTCCGTTAATAACTTGTAAACAAAGCCGTGGATTGCATTTTCGCCAAGGACAAACTTACTTCAAATTACCTCAGGAACTTCCCATTCTCGGATTGCGAGACATTTTTGCGACACCCTGCATAATGCACACCAGCTTCTCGAACAGCTAATAAGCAAGTCAGTCATGATGTTTACACGGTCACAGAGACAACTTATATCTATTAAACTCGTTGAACAATCGACGGTGAGTGAAACGAGCTTAATTTATAATCCACCGTGAGCGGCGCGGCGAGCTGAACCATCGATCAATTAAACCTCAGGTTTTAGCTCTCGTTGTTCCCTTGAAACTCTTCGAGCACTATTCGCGTTTATTGATAATTCCCGTTCGAATACAAATCGTAGCAACGTAGGCAACTGAACCGAGCGAAACGCAGCCCGAAATGCACTTCCTAAGCTGCTACCGTCGCTTGGACGCAATCCGGTCGCCTCATTAATTCGCGCGAATTTCTTCGGCTCCCTCTTCGAAGGGCAAAACAATTCCAGCTGTTGCCGGCGTTATGATACTTCTGTCGCGTAAACGCGCAATTAGTCTAACGACGATCTCAATGATTCGCTGTTGACGCGCGTCCCTAAAGCGGCGACGGAAATTGGCTACCCTTCACCGAGCATGATTCGTCGCGTCACCGATGATTCGCTGTTCAAAAAGCCGTCGCACGCAGCTGAAATTTTCGAATGTCTTACTTCTCGTTCTAGAACCACGGCTTCCCAACGTTCGCTCGTATACGCGGGTGTAATTTCACCGCGAATTCGTAGGTACAAGTGCGCGCCTCGCTTCGCATCGATTAAAGGGCAACATTATGGGGAGTTATTAATAATGAAGGGACCCTTGCGAGTCTGGCCACGAAATAAATCATGCCGCCGGGGATTAGACTGTCGTCCATTGTGAATAAGGGTGGACAATATTTTTGTTTCTTTGCCCGAGAATGAATATTACAGGGGACAAGCTGTTACAGATTGCACCTTCGTAATCTTCGCGCGGTTTTAAGTGTCTCCGATTCATCGTTCAGGCTTCTGTCTTCATCGTAAATTTCGTTTTTTTGCAGTAAATCGCGCCGCGGAATAATATCTGATGCTAAAGAATTTCTTTTATTTAATTTAATGAAAGTGTGGTCTATGAAGCGATGCGTTCTCGTTGAAAATTCTTTTAATCTCATTTTCTTTCGCGCATGAATTCGTCTTGAAACGAGCTACGATAATATTAAGTCAAAAATTAAATAAAATAGCATGCAATTTAAAAAAAATGAAGGAGTCCTCGATCTTTTCGAACAGAACATTCTTTCTGAAATTGTTTACAACGCAATCCGTAGCTGACGAAAAACTGATCAACTCTTGTTAGAAGCATTTTCTTGTCACACTGTATTTTTCTTAAAGAGTTCCCCTCGGGACGAACGTTTACGGAATCGTAAAGCTATCTAAAATGCCGAAAGCACGTCAGAGAAAAGAATTCCTAAGTTGTCCAGCACAATAGAGTACGGTCATCGAACACCTCGTACATAGATCGAGCGCGAAACGTTGCCTGGAGTCGTAATTGCTTCTGAATAGTTGGCACATCTTTTCAGCCGCAGAGTGATACAGTTAAGAGGAACTGTTACAAGGCGAAGAATTGATAGCTCGAAAACGCACGGTCGAGCCATTACAAAGTTGTACCGGCGTCCCCGAGTGTCGTTCGAGTTAGTCGGCCGAAAGGTTCCGGGCACAGAATCTAGCAAATGAAATTCCTCCGATCTCACGTCAAGTGACTTTGATTTCTACATGGTTTGGCCGGTTCTATAAGGAGACCGATTCAGTTGGCTGCAATTCCACCAGGAATTCGCACGTTTAACGTGATTCCTTTCCCGTTCCCGGCGTTCCCCGGGAATAGAACCGGTCGCAGCGGAAAATAATTAGAAACACCGTGACTGACAACGTTGTCGGGACTATTAGCCGCGTCAACGGGGAAATCGAACTAACCGCGGCTGTTTTGGGCGAAGTATGATCTCAAGTAAATGCACAGATATGATCGCCAAGGATCTCCGTATTCGACTTTGCTTCGTAGAAGGCGATCGCTTTATCGGACCTCTTCCATACGACGGTGCTTAATTGTATCAGAGTCGTGACGAACGGGATTATTATTATCCTCTTATCGACGACCTGTTAAACCATGGCCTTTGGATAACCTCGGCGCAAAAAAAAATGACATAAATGATGCGATGCTGCTTCGGATGTTCCACACTTCGAATTGGTGCAGTGTGAACTAGAACAATTTTCAACGACTATCACTTCACTTGCGACTTCATTTTTATTATGTGAATTCTTTAATATCAAATTTTATGATTAACAATTGCGTTTGCAATGACGAGTCGTGACGAAAGTTAAGTTGAAGTAACGTTTCGATAAATCGAAAAAGAAAACAAACGTTTAGATCGCTCTGCTGATGTGTCTTTAAGCCGAGGAACACCAAGAGAACGTTTCTCTAGCCCGTCAGCTACTAAAACGGTAAGAGAACGATTTATTTTCTTCCGTCGTTTCAAAGTGTACATATTATATTTGGTTTACACAAAATGTTATTTCTCGAAGGATGTAGCAAAGTATTTTCCTGTTAGTTTTCCTGTGGAAATATTGACTCTTTTTGCTGTAAGTTCGTGCAGGAAAACACACACAAATATACAATGTAAATTAAGAAAAAAATATGCAACGATACGAATCACTGCAATTGCATTTTTCTCAGCAGTATCTTTTTATTTCGTAGTATCTCTAGTATCTCCCTTCGAATTATTATTAGTATAATATTCAATGAAAATATTCTACACGGACCGTTCTCTCGGCTCCAGTATTTCCCAAGACATTCGGCTAAATCTATTTCTCACCCCCAATCTCGGGAATTATTTTTACCCCCCCCCCCCCTCCACCCCCGACACGCGTATCGACGAATAAGAAGCAATACTCGTCAAATATTTTTATGAAAATCATTTTCCGCCACGGACGCCTCGGAACTGTCGCGATAAATGAATTGTGCAGAATCGAATATATCTAGGAGACACTGTTTATAAAATTCATAAAGCTTTCTTTTTCTTAAACGTTTAAACGATTAGTATGTCCAAGTGGAGAAGATGAACAAATTATGTAAATGGAATATTCTTGAATTTCAATCTTTTTCATAGATTTTCCAGGTATTTCGTAGGGTTGTGCGCCGGTTATTATAGGGTGATTAATTATTTGTATTTTTGGTTTGTTATCGGGCATAATTAACACTTGATTTACGAAGCATAAAAAGCAGCTCTTCTCTATTAGTTTATAAAAGTAAGGGTAATAGATTTCTTGGTTCGACTAGTCACACACAATTATTATCCACTATTGCACTATTCAATTATTGTCCAATATTCCACTATTCATTTATTATCCGCTATTCCACTATTCAATTATTATCGGATATTCGACCATTCAATTGTTATTCGCTATTCCACTATCAAATTATTATCCACTATTCTACTATTCAATTATTATCCACTATTCCACTATTCAATTACTATTCACTATCAATTACCTTACGAATCGCCACTTTCCATTTCTCCATACCATTTCTATATTTTCAACACCTTTAAATAAGCACCCTCGCATAGCTCTCACTAATAAACAACAAATTCCAACGATAAA